TTAGGGCTTAGGGTTTAGGGGATTCTGCTTGGGGGTTTAGGAAAGCTTGGCAGTTCTTGCATGCAAGCTTGCGGCGCAAGAAAAAGCCCCGGGCTGGGTTCTACACAGCATTACAGAGCCTGATCGTCATCTCCGCTGCACCGTCAGCTCTCGACATGACACATCCGTATCAGAGCACTGCTGACAGTTCCTGGCAAGACAGGAGAGGGTCGAGCCGACGCGTCGCCGCGGGGATGGCGTACGGCTCCTCTTCCGCCCTGGGGAGTGAGGCTTGCGACACCTATACAGCATCATACGGCTTAAACTGGCAAGGAATACATACAGAACGGTCCAGTGCGACAACAGACAACGGCATTACACGATCGGGTAGCACAAGATAGAACATGTCCAAGTATGATATTGCTGCCGTGAAAAAGGCACGAAACTATGTGCGATCGACTATGGAATGAAACGACATTATGCATGCGTAGAGGAAACGCAGTCCTACTTGCTGGAATGCATACCAAAACACGGTAGGGCATTATCTCAGTTTGGCACAGTCACGGGACAGAGTCGAGACGTACCGCAACGCAACGGAAAGAAGCGCTGCAGTGTAGAGTCATGCCATGCTTTGCACTACGGCAAAAACCAGGGCATTGTAATTTAGCGCAAGACAATGCAGTTGTCACGGCATCTTGCCGAACATCTTGCGTGAGAACTAACCCAGCTTCTCAAGAAATGGCAACAGCCGCGCTGCTTAACAGCACTACGTGTAGAAAAAATCGCAGTGGCAGCAACACGAAGACTTGATCAGACAATCAATCCCACCACACAGGCAGAAGTAGCAACAGCACTAGCAACAGAAACAGCATGGGCAATGCCAGAAAAATGTAGCACATCTTTCGTAGTGCGGCAGCATTGTGGCAGTACGTGACATAGATTTCACAAAAAGCGCCATGACTGGGATTTGCTTCAGAACTGTGTCTTCAAATTGGCATTCCAGGAGATTCGCATGGAACTGGTGGAAACGTGGTTTTGTGTGGAGCAGAACATAGGATCGGCTCCAAAAGGAAGCACGTCAGAAGCAGTCAGGACTCACATCGGGCCTGGTCGTACAGGGCTCTTGGGTCGTAGGACGTCGATTTCCGCGATGCTCCTGCGGGCGTTGCGACGGAAACGAGCGACAACGACTGTTACCTATTTGTCTGACTTGTTCCGCTGCGATAATCCGGAATGTAGCACGCTACGTGTACTATCTGTCACAAACCGGTATGTAACATTACGCTAGTTCCGCTAAAGCACAGCATAGGGCAGTGAAGCTGCTTTCATGGCATTGCCTGCCTGTCACTACATAGCACCGAGACACATCACACGCTGAATAGTGACTTTGCAGACACTGCTTTGTGGCAGGACGAGGAAGTACTCCTCTTCAAACGTGTTGCTGTACTCTTGGCCTAGAGGGTACCGAGCTTTGCAGCAAGACCTGGAGTTGTGCGACATACCTCGTTCAGAAGCGCGGCATCACTTTAGTTACATTACATAGCCATAACCGACAACATAAGCTGCTCGTCATCGTCTTGCCCTTAGTTACCAGAAAACCCTGCAGAAGCAGCTCTGCGGTCCCGAGGAGCCGCCCGCCCTTGTAGTCCTGCACCTGCGTGTCTGTGAAGGCCACATCAAAACCCTAAACCCTAAACCCTAAACCCCTAAACCCTAAACCCTAAACCCTAAACCCTAAACCAAAACCGGCCAGAAGCGTGGAGTGCACGCGCATGTGCTTGGCGGTGTGCGTCGAGAGCACCCACGAACTCTGCCGCCCGAGGCTCAAGATCTACCCCAAGGCATGGGGACGAGAAGACAACCGGCGAAGGCAACCAACAAACAAAGCCGCAGACTACAGACGGCAAACCACGTAGCTATACAACAGCCTAGCACGCACTCAGCACAAGGAACTTCAGGGGTGATCGCTCTCTTGGCCCAGAGTTCGAGGCACACAGGGGCAGTCTGTCTATGCATGCACTGATGTACATCTCGCATGCACATACAGCCTTGGACGTTTGTCTGCATCTAACGATCAGGTACAGATGTACCAAAAGATATGTGCAACATGGTGCGTTAAACATGTTGGAGCCTCGGAGAGTTCTCAAGCTCAGCTAGGCGCGGTTTCCATGCCGAAGGCGATGAGGTCGCACGATGCCGCGAGAAGCATAAAGAGACTGTATGGTGAATACTGATCCTGCTATCATCGTCAAACTAGTGAAACTTCGTTGCGAGTATGGTTAGGCTGATTTGGCTGTGCAAATCATAGGAGTTATATGGTTCTGATAGCGTTCTCCTTTTTCTGGCTCACGTCACCACACCTACTACTGCAAAATATTGTTTTCTCGTCTTGGCATCGAGAATCAGTCTACACGCTTTTCGATTTCAATTCCGATATCTTTTACTGCTTGTGTCGTGTCTACTGCCCCTAAACCCTAAACCCTAAACCCTAAACCCTAAACCCTAAACCCCTAAGCCCCATCAATGTTTTTCGCTCTCGTCTGCCGAGGCGCCTCCGGCCACTGCTTGTCGCCCTCAAACCACTTCAGGTAGGTCTGCACAGGCCCAGAAAGTCAAGGGGCCTAGGGTTGTTGCCGTGAAGTCTAGGCTTACGGAAAAAGCAGCTCATGAGAGCATCCAACGAAACCTTGAACTCCAACACCTGCCTCTTTGTCCCAATTATCGGTGGTGAGGCCGTTGCCAAGAGTCAGCCAGCCTTTGAACAAATCTGCTGTGCTTCCACCACCAGGCAAGATCCAAGACTAGATGCCGCCGCTAGGTTCACTCAGGTCAAGCCTGCTCCGAAGCACTTGAACAAGCAACTGAAGCGCTCTCGGCAAACAGTCAATAGAGATGATCATACCAGACTTTCCGCTCTCCTAAGCTGAACCGAGGCCCACAAAGCAGCATAAACTGCCACCCCTGGAGCCACCGCTTCACACAGCCTTACCGCAAGACCCTAGTGTGTGCAGGCTGGGGTCGGAGCCGTCTCGTAGGTTCCGATCGCGGCCGAAAAGCTCTAGACGCCTGGCACGGCAAACGACGCACCAGCTAGTAGCAGTAGTAGCGGTAGTAGCAGTAGTAGCGGTAGCTGCAGTGGTGGTGCTAGCAGTGGTAGTCGTCGTCGTGTTGGTTGCGGTAGTAGCAGCAGCAGCAGGAGCAGCAGCAGCAGCAGGAGCAGCAGCAGCAGTAGTGGTAGTAGCAGTTTCAATTGTTTGTCGTATATCGTCGCCGTCCTGCATGCTAGGGACCCATTCTATATACAGGGCGAACATACAGGAGATACACCACTCGTTATTGCCACCCAATCATTGTGCCCGCGACACACCAAACGATGGACCCTGAATCGAAAAAAGTTGCGAAAGCGGCCTACGCCCAAGGCAGAAGTGCTCGATCGTCTCGTACAGCCTGAACCAAAGCTGTGCATGTGTGTGCTTGTTTGTGTGTGTGTGTGCGTCTCTGTGTGGGTCTCTGTGTGTATGTCTGTCTGTCTGCCTGCCTGCCTGCATGCCTGGCTGGCGGCCTAACTGCCTGGCTGGCTGGCTGGCTGTCTGTCTGTCTGTCTGACTGTGTGTGTGTGTGTGTGCGCGCGTGTATGTGTGTCTGTCTTTTTGTATGTCTCTGTGTCTGTGTCTGTGTCTGTGTCTGCGTCTGCGTCTGCGTCTGCGTCTGCGTCTGCGTCTGCGTCTGCGTCTGGGTCTGGGTCTGGGTCTGTGTCTGTGT